CCGAATCGGGACCTAGAAGAACTATTATTTAAACGAGGTTATTAATTTACCGAGTATTAATTTATTGAGTTTCTACTGTACAGTAGAACCTCGATAAATTAATAATCTCACTTAAATAATAAAATTTTCCGATCCCGACTCGGAGACAACGTGCTAAATTAATAATTCGCTAAATTTATAAGATAATGCACATTCGAAAATTTTAAGAAGCCCCATGTGATATATAAATTAATAATGCACAAAAATAATTCTTAAATTACGTGGTACAATACATATTTTATAGATCTATGAAGGCTTAACACAATATAATTTAATTGTCGCTTGTTTCTTGTTGAAGTTTACATTCCCATCAATCTCGTCCCTCACTTTTTTTAATATGGTTAGAGTTTCGGTATAGTTTTCTCATAACTCAACATAAATCGTTCTATACCATTGCTGATTTAAGAGCTTCCATTCATGAAACGAAATGTCGAAATCTATAGTGCATTGATCTAATAGTACAACAATGAATAATATAAACATAAAAAAATAAAAAAAATATTTTTATTGAAAATAATAATAAAAGTAATTTCATAAATTAATAAGTTATTAATTAATATATAAATTAATAATTATTAATTTATCAATAAGTTAATATTTCGCTAAATTAATGAAATTTTGATGGTCCCAACTGTATTAATTTATAGAAGTTTAATTGTATAATGATGGGGTCATTACAAATAAGCCCATCAATGGGTACTTATTCATAAAGAGATCCAGACAAAAAACTCATTTACCAATAAGTCCACACATGGTCCATATTTTTGTAAAGGACTAAAATAGCCCATCATACTTTAATATACTCCAATTTCATCCTTAATTTAATTTAACTTTAATTTGACCTCAAATTTCACAAATTATTCAATTTTGACCGAAAAAAAAAATTCAAAAGAATTTTTTTTTTCAGAATTTTTTTTTCCCGCCGGATTCCGACGTTGACTTTTCACATTTTTGTTTTTTTCCGGTCTCCGGCGTTGACTTTTTCGATATTTTTTTTCTTTTTCTTCTTTTCTTTCTTTCTGTAAATTTTTTTTTCGTTTAAACAACAATATTGTTGTGGTTGACAGTAATATTAACTATATTACTGTTAAACACAATAAAATTAACTAAACTACAGTTTAACACAATAATATTGCTATATTAATCTCTAGCACAGTAATATTAACACAACAAAACTCATTATTATTGTGTAATAGAGTAATATTACTATGTTGGCCGTTCAACAAATGTAAACATAATAAAAAACCAAAAGAATTAATATTACTGTGGGTGACAGTAATATTACCGTCAACCACAGTAATATTATTACGTTACTCCGTGAATAACTCAAACAAACAAAAAATCCAAACAAAATAATAATATTGATGTGGTTGACACCAATATTACTATAACAACAGTAATATTACAATCAACCACAGTAATATTATTGTGTTTACAGTAATATTACAATAATAGACAATAATATTATTACGTTACTCCGTGAATAACTCAAACAAAACAAAAAACCCAAAAAAATAATAATATTGATGTTGTTGACAGTCATGTTATTGTATTTACAGTTATTTTACTGTCAACGACAGTAATATAATTACGTTGACTTGTCAACAAATCAAACAAAATAAAAAAAAACAACAAAAAAAAATATTACATTATGAAAAAAAAAATTGAAAAAATTAATTTTGGGTCAAAATTGAATAATTTGTGAAATTAGGGGTCAAATTGATATTAAATTAAGTTAAGGATGAAATTGAAGCATATTAAAGTATGCTAAAAAAAAAGTCAAAATCGAATTTTTGTGGACAAAATTGATTAAATTGGGGTTACAATTTAGAATTGAGTATAAAGGGTTGGGGGTAATATTGACATATACATGAATGTTTCTTTTATCTATAATAAATATTAAAATGGTGGGCTTATTGGTGAAAAAAATATAGACCATAAACTTAGAAATAATAAAGATGATTGGTTGGAGACTTATGTACAAAAAACCTTATAATGATTTGGTAGTCGGTTTTAGACAAAAGCCCAATGGGCAGTATCTTTAATCAAATGCGCCAATTAAAGAATACTAGGGTGCATTTGGATGGAAGGATTTGGGGGAGGGATTTCAAATCCATAATAACAAATCCCTCCGACTTGTTTGGATTGAGGGATTTGGAGATGGATTTGAAATCTCCAACCCTCATTTTTAGTTGATTTTGGAACAATAGTGATGGATTTCAAATGAATCCAAAATTGGAGTCATTTCAAATACATTCCCCAAATCAAATCCCTCCCCAAATCCCTCCATCCAAATGGACCCTTAGGGTTTTGAAGCAAAGCTCGTATCTCTCTCTCTCTCTCTAAGTCCCCACGTCGTCGGCTCTTTCTCCTCGTGACAAAATATGGACGTAATTCTTCTTCCTTCATTTTATTGCAAGTTTCGTAACTTTTTTCGTAATCTTTTGATTTACTTTTTATGTTGAAATTTTATTCAGAAAATCGATAAATTATGATGAGTTTTTTGTGTAGTTGAGTTTTAGAGCAAAGCCCAACGGTATCACTCATTAATCAATGTCGGTCACTAACGAAGATTAGGATTTTGAAGAAAGCCCATCATTTTGCTTCCCCTCTATAAATCAAATCCTCGTACCGCCGATTACTTCTCATGAAACCTCTCTACGTGTTTCCTTTTCCTCCGATTCTTGAAACTTTCATATACACTTCACTATTTTTTCATTTTTATTTTTTAAAAGTATACAATCTTTGGCAGCGATGATTATAAAAGTAATTCCTCGTTCTGAATGCCGTTGGCTTGATAGACATATATTACACCCATAGAATATGAGCTGACCCCCTTCCCAACTTTTTTCACAGCAATTTTTTTGTTTGTTTGTTTATTTAAAGAGTGTTTGCCAGAGGTTACTTGTTTTACTCTTGTTGTGTACAGATGACATTTAATTCATTTTTTCGATTAAGAAACAATTTAATATTATTAAAGAGTGTTTGCCAGAGCTTACTTGCTTCAGGGTTTTTTTTTTTTTTTTTATTCCAGGATTTGAACATTTCTTTTGTTTCGTATATTGTAATTTTTCATATTTTGATTTTTTCTAGTAACCATGTTTTCATAATTTTCTTTGCATTTGGGTATTTTTAACACACTTTCACAATCAATATTACTATTAATTTTTTTTTTCCTGTAATGTAATGTACTTTTTTTTGCAAATGAGTGTGAAAATAGGTAAATAGCATCCCTCAATATTCTTAATAATAATATGCACACTGTCAATTATTCATAAGTAACAAACTCATTCGACATTACCCGATTCCTTCCATCGATGAAGGGCACCAATCCGGTTCAAGCTGACCAGTACCTCAAATAAATTCAACTCAATTCATTTACACCGAATTCACAAATTAAACTTACCATTTCAATGTGTGATGAATTAAAACATCACACAAATGGGTCGGATGTTATAAAACTTCAAAGTCGTAAACTTATTGCAACGATTTGCGTATGAACGTGATTTAGTTGAATCTTTCTAAACAAATCGGACACATGCTCATTCTATATTTGTCATTACTATAAGAGTTTATTTATTTATTTTTACTTGTCAATGGTGTGTAATTATGTCCAAGCTTCAAAGGCTAATTCATTATATTGCATGCTCAAAAATTCAAAAATACATGTCACATAATGAGGAAATGATGATAAATAGATAAAGAAATCAAAAATACATGTCACATACGACCAATAATGAGGCAATGATGATAAATAGATAAAGAAAGGTACACCGTACCGCACACAGTCAATTGTTAGTGAATGGGACTGGCGTTGACAAAGTCATGGTCAAGTCATTTCTCTGATAAATTCAAGCGGTAAAAACAATGGGGAAGTATGCCATGTCCACAAATATTTTGAACTAAATTCAATTGAATTAAGGCTGCATTTGGATGGAGGAATCGGGAGGAATTTCAAATCCATAATAACAAATTATTTGAACCTGTTTGGATTGAGGAATTTGGAGATAGATTTCAAATCCACACCTCTCATTTTTAGTTGATTTTGGGGCAATTAAGGTGGATTACAAATGACTCCAAATTGAAGTCATTTCAAACACCTTTTCCAAATCAAATCCCCCTTCAAATCCTTCAATTCAAACGTACTTTTAAAGACCTTTGTCTACACCCAAGTTCCATTCTAAATTAGAGATCCCCTGAACTAATATAAGAATATATAAAAATATCCTCAATTACTATAACCTCAAATTTTAATTATTTGTGTCCACCTCAATTATTTTTATCTCCTCTATCGCCGCCGTTGCGGCCTCCTTCGTCCCCATATAAATCTCTTCATCTCTTGTTTGTTATCTCTATCTCGATTTTCTCTCTTTTTTTATCTTTTTTTTTTATAATTATTTAAATTGGGAGGAGCGATTTTTTTGTAATTTTAGAGCTTAGATCAAACGGTGTTAAGGTCAAATGTCTGAAAACTAACGGCGATGACTACTTTGAGACAATTTTTCTAGTGCAGGGGAGGGCAAATCGATGCAATCGAGAGTACAATGTGGTAAAGTGATATGCAAATCGATGCAATCGAGAGTAGAATGAGGTAAAGTGATATCGAACCAAAATACAAGGGGTAAAGTGTACACGTAAGTTTGTTTTTTTCCGAACACAACTTCATTTTTCAAAGGTTGACTTTTCACCTGTCATATACTTTTTGTATTTTATTTAATTATATTAAGTCTTGTAATTTGGTGATTAACTTTGAATTAGGATATGCTAATCCAAAGTCTTGGCGATAATTTCAACACGGATTGTCCTTCAGGCTACATTGAAGGGTGTAAAGGAATCCACATTTCGGAGCACTACAACTCCTTATAAAACTCCAACACTAGGAATTCATTATATCGCATGCTCAAAAATTCAAAAATACATGTCACATACTCTGTAATCTGTATTATAACAGATCAGTAGTTATGAGTAGTTGCAAAATATGGGTGCTCTGTTTCTATATTATTCTCACTCCGACAACCGTTTTTCCGTTGGCAGTCCCTCGAAAGGCTGAGGGTCCTATTTGTTTAGACGAAAAAGGGAATTACACAGCTACAAGCAGGCATGCAGCTAATCTTAAGGGCCTCCTCTACACTCTCTCTGTAAATATCGACGACAGCGGTTTCTATAGCGGCACACTGGGCACTGCCAAAGCTGTTGCCCTCTGCAGAGCCGATACTCTGCTCGACGCTTGTAAAGGTTGCGTCAAGGACAACGCCGAAATCTTAATAGATCATTGTCCGAAACAATACCAGGCGATTGTGTGGTCGCAATTCTGTATGGTTCGGTACTCAAACGAGACCATATACGAGAGGCTAGATGTTGAACCCGTAACGGTTTTTCGTGGGAAAATAAATGTGACCACGAGTCCCGACACGTTTAAGGACATCCGTAAAGAGCTGATCGACGATATTCGGGCAAAGATAGCTAACGGCAGCTCTCCTCGCATGGCTGAGGTGGGGAATAGGACGACGGGGCCCGGTGCTCAGAAAATCTACGTGTTCATGCAGTGCACGCCGGATTTATCGCCCACGAATTGCAGCAGTTGCTTGGTGGAGGCGGCGCTATATCTTTCGGGAGATTCTCAAGCGGGCACTGTCTATCTGCCCAGCTGCATTCTACGCTACGCGCCTACAAATGATTACAATAGTACAAGGCTTCATGAACCAATATTGGCAACGTCGTCTTTACCGCCGCCGCCGCCGCCTTTGGTGCCATCTCCACCACCACCGGGTAATTTACTCTCTATTTGAATACAAGTACGTAATTCCAATCCATATATACACTCGAAAAATTTAATTTCAACGAATTACAGTACTTATCAGTTATTTGAAGAATTACAAACTAACAAATGTAGATGAAAACTCTCGAAGAAAATATTCCGGTAAACACGTAAAACACCGTGTATGAGCGGAAATCTGCACCAAACCCCCCAATATATATGTAAATTTTACTGCGTAAACCCACTTCTGTTGCATTTTATTTCCCATGAAATCACATATTCCGCTAATTATTAACACCGTTGGTTAACTATGTAGAAGACTTAATGCAGGTTTTTTAGTAAAACAAATGGGTTTGGTGCATGATTTTGACAATAGAAATGGGATTTATGCAAAAATGATTTATTTGTTTAAAACTTGAATTGGTTTTTTGAATGGGTCCACTACATATAAGTTCATTATGGGATACTTATTCTAAAAGGAGTCTAGACAAAAAATTACAGTAGTTAGAGGTGTGTAAAAAACTAAAATACCCCATTATATTTTAATATGGTCCAATTTCATCATTTTTAATTTAATTTAACCTCAGTTAGACCCCAAATTTCACAAATCATTCACTTTTGACCAAAAAACTCAATTTTGAGTACAATTTCGTCTGTCGCCGCCGTTAACCGTCAGTCTTTGCCGTTGATATTTTCTTTTTCTTTTTCTTTTCTCCGCTGTTGACCGGCGGTCAACGCCGGTCTCCGTCGGCGTTAACTTTTTTTTCTACAACATATTTTTGTCCGTTTAAACAGTAATATTGATGTGGTTGACAATCATATTAATTGTATTACTGTTTTACACAGTAATATTAACTATATTACAATTTAACACAATAATATTGTTATATTACTCTCTAGCACAGTAATATTAACATAATAAAAATCAATATTATTGTATACGAAAGTAATATTAATAATTTAATCGTTCAATAAAGGCAAACATAATAAAAAGTCAAAATAATTAATATTGAATTGGTTGACAGTAACATTACTGTCCTCCACAGTAATATTACTGTAAAGATAGTGATATTACCGTCAACCACAATAATATTATTGTGTTTACAGTAATATTACAATAGCAGACAGTAATATTATTACCTTAATCGGTCAACAAATCAAACAAAACAAAACGACCAAAAAAAATAATATTGATGTGGTTGATAGTAATATTATTATGTTTACAGTAATTTTACCGTCAACGACAATAATATAAGTACGTTGACTTGGCAACAAATCAAACATAATAAAAAAAAAAAGCCAAAAAAATATAATATCGATGTGGTTGACAGTACTGGTTATGACAACACAATTACGGTCAACGTTCAGCAGCGAGCGTAAAAAACGGATAAAATTTTAGGAATTTTTTTTTGAAAAAGTCAACACCAGAGATGTGCGGAGGAAAAAAAGTTTAAATAAAAGAAAAAGTCAAAATTGGATTTTTGTGGTCAAAATTGATTAAATTGAAATTAAATTGCGGTTACAATTAGGAATTGGGTTTAAAGGGTTGGGGGTAATTTTGTCATAGACATTAATTTTGCCTTTATTTATAATAGGTATTAAAGTGATGGATTTCTTGACAAAAGAGATATAATCCTTGAACCTAGAAGAATACAGATGGTTGGTCAGTGTGACTTAAGCATAAAGCCCCTTCTTAAATTATGTGGAAGACCATTTAATCTGCATTACGAAAAATAAAAGAGTAATAACTAATAAGGGTTGAATTTCGAATGAACTTTTTATATTTCGAGTTTTCCAATTCAAATTTTACATTGTAGAATGATTTTTTTTTGCGATTTCCAAAGTTTTATTTCATTTTATTCAAAGAAATAAAAAAATTGCATCAAAATTGGAAACATATCGAAATTGTGAAAAAAATTATTTTTTCCAAATATATCCTTAATATCAAAAAAATTATATAATATAAGATGGCATGTATTATATGCAGAAATAATATAAATAATATGAAATTTGTTCCAGTTTTCACTAACTCAATTCTTTTTTTAGCTGACTGACATGTATTATATGCAGAAAAAATATAATTAATTATTTTTTGCATAATTACCCCTTGTATTGTAGAAAAATAAAAAATGCACCAATTTCTGTATGTGTTACACAAAATTATCATGGAATCCCCCTTCATATTTAACGGTGTTAATTATTAACGGATCTATATGTATGAATAAGAAAAAAATGACATTAATAATTAGAAGAATGACAATAATAATATTCTAATTGGGAAAATATCAAAATTTTAAAAAGTGATAACATTTGTATGTTGCTAATAGTATCTTACTTTGTTGTCACTTGATCCATTTATCGTCACTATATCGAATTAGTCATACTCTACTAGTTGCAAGCATAATGATTTTTTTTTTTTTTTTTGTTTTTGAATTACGAATTGACAATTTTTGCCCTTGATTTTCAGGAAAACGTAATGAGAATAGAACTCGGAGTATTATCACCATCTTTATTTCAATTTTTGCGTGTCTATTACTGGTTCTTTGTGTCGGCATCTATCTGATGAAGAGAAGCAAGAAGAAGATACACGAATATTCCAATAGTAAGTTCGTTGGTAAATAACAAACATCTTCCCGACTACGATTTCAACACCAAAAAAACCTCTTTCTTTCTGGATAGTTATACAACATAACTTATACTTATCCTTCAAACTAACCATCCGGAAAAAAACAACTAACACAAATTGCAGGGTTATTTCTATGCTACAAATTGGAGAATGTCTAGATTACTTCTAAATAAATATAAGTCCCTTAAACATTATAAAATATGAATTTTAAAAGACCCCTTAAAATATCTCTAAACTATAAAAATCTCCCTCTAATTTTGAAATTATATTTATTGTCTTCAAACTAACGATAGGTCATAAACATTAAAGTAAATCTTTAATATCTAAATTTTCCTTGAATATGAAAAGAAATTAACAAAACATCTACACATTCAAATGTTGGATATACCATTTATGTTTTTAATCAAGACAACATAAAGATTTTTTCGCAGCACAAAGAATGTAAGTGAACGTCTCCCATTAGGAAATGTCAATGAAATAAGTCCAAAAAGAAAATCATGCAATTCTTTCGAATTGGTCAAGAGAATGTCAAAATTTACATTGTTGGGGACATTTTATAGTGGACTTTACAAATAAGCACATCAATGAGATTTTCTCATAAAGGGGTCCAGACAAAAAACTCTTATACAAGAAAGTAGTCCAGATGTTTGCAAAAGACTAAAATAGCCACTCACATTTTTAATATGCTCCAACTTCATTATTTAATTTAATCTAACCTCAATTTGATCACAAATTTCACAAATAATTCAATTTTGACCGAAAACACAATTTTATGGGCAATTTCGTCCGTTGCCGCCGTTGACCGCCGGTCTCCGGCGTGCTTTTTTCTTTCTTCCTGATTTTTCCGCCGGTTTCCGGCGGTCAACGCCGGTCTCTTGGGCGTTGTCTTTTTCGATTTTCTTTTCTTCTTTCTGATTTTCCGCCGCTGGTTTCCGGCATTGACTTTTTCGATTTTTTTATTTAAATTTTTTTCCCTTTAACATCCCCCACCATCGTTTAAACATAAATATTGCTATGGTTGACAGTAATATTAACTATATTATTGTTAAACACAATAATATTAACTATACTACAGTTTAACACAGTAATATTGCTATTGTAAACCACAAATTTTTCGAATCTGTAAAACATAAATACAAGACAAGAAAAATATAGGAAACAAATAAATTTATTATCAAACGAAAGCGGATTACAATCTCCTTGAATTCCTCTGATTCTTCTCTCCTATTCTAGATTTTGATTCAAGGGCTTAAAAGTTTGTTCTTGAATCGAACATATGATTTCCTATCACGAACACCTCGAATTTAAATACGTTATGCATTTGAGTAATCGAACATATGATTTCCTATCACGAACACCTCAAATTCAAATATGTTTTGAATTCGAGGTGGAGGCTCGAGACGTGAGCTTGAGAGCTCGATATGTGTCTGTGTGAGTCTGATTTGCAGGGTGGGCTGGACATCCTAAAGCCCAAATATGTTATGAACTTTAATTTGAGACCTAAATTAATAACCGATTTATTTTGGTTATTAATTAGTAATTTATCTCAAAATTTTGATGTCTACAGCTATATTAATCTCTAGCACAATAATATTAACACAAAAAAGTAATTATTATTTTGTAATAGAGTAATTTTAATATGTTGACCGTTCAACAAAGGTAAACATAATAAAAAGCCAAAAGAATCAATATTACTGTGGTTGACAGTAATATTAGTGTAACAACAGTAATATTACTGTCAACCACAGTAACATTATTTGTTTACAGTAATATTACAATAATAGACAGTAATATTATTAATTTACTCCGTCAACAACTAAAACAAAACAAAAGAAAACCAAAAAATAATAATAATATTAATGTGGTTGACAGTATTATTATTGTGTTTACAGTTATTTTACTACCAACGACAATAATATAATTACGTTGACTTGTCAATAAATCAAACAAAATAAAAAAATAAAATAAAATAAATAAATAAATAAGTAAAAAAAAACCAAAAAAATAATAATATTGTGGTTGACTCTAATTGTACTGTCAACGACAGTACAATTACGTTAATGTCCTGTCAACGACAGTATAATTACGTTATTGTACTGTTAGTGACAATATAATTACTATTAATGACAGTACAATTACGGTCAATATTTAGCGGCCGGCGTAAAAAAACGAATAAAAAATTTATGTGAAAAAAAATAAATAAAATAAAATCACCAAAAAAAAAGTCAACGCCGGAGACCGACGGCGGAAAAAACAGACCAGAAAAAAAATCGAAAAGTGAACGCCAGAGACCGGCATTAACCGCCGAAAACCGGCGGCAAAAAAATTATTTTTGAAAAATAAAGTTTTAAAAAAAAAGTCAAAATTGGATTTTTGTGGTCAAAATTGATTAAATTGGGATTACAATTAAGAATTGAGTGTAAATGATTGGGGATAATTTCGTCATATACATTAATTTTTCCTTTATTTATAATAAATATTAAAAGGGATGAGCTTATTGGCAAAATAGATATAACCCTAAACATATAATAATAAAGATGGTTGGTCCGGGACATATGGACAAAAACCTAATTTTAGAACTAATCCACTACTCTCTCAGCTTCAATAAGTGAGGTAAACAGTAAACATGAACAAATTAAGAACCCTAATAAATTGTCTCCTTTTTAATTACGCAGGCATAAATTACCTCTTTTAAACTTTGAAAAAAGATACATTAGTGGACAAATTAATGAGCTTGAACAATTAATGATATAAATTAACATTGGTAAAAAAACAATTATTTTTATCTTGAAACTATGAAGTGGCAGTTAATACGGGAAACAAAAATATGGACAAAATGACACTTATTTTGAAACAAAAGGAAGTAATAAATAAAACAGTCCTACACACGGGTAAAATTGAAATTTTGGGACGATGAACTATCAGTAGAATCTAAAAGATCTATTAGTGTTCACACTCATAAGGAAAAATCTTAAATATAACACAAAATTTCAGGATTAAGTGTGGAGTGCATAAATACGTTATTTCGGTAGTGTTCTAACGAACTATTACGTCTAGTAAGTGGTAAAACTAACATAGAGCTAGGGGGTGACATGACTCCCCTAACGTTTTTTAAATCACTCATAGCTCTATGTTGTCTCCACCACTTTGTATAATTAATAGTCAGCTAGAATGCTATCGGAATAACGTATCCAATGCATTATCCTATTAGAGTTTCTAACTATGTTTCAGGGGGTGAGTGTAATTACCGATATCACAGGGACCTCAAAGTTATTTTAGCATATCTCAGGGGTGTGGGTGTAATTTAACCTTTAAATTATATATATAGATAGGTACTTTTCATGTGTTGGCTTTTACGCAAAATTTACTTCATTACTGTGAATTAAACTTGATCATTCTATTTTAATTGGTGAAGATGTTGATGGGATCAGCACTGTTGAATCCATACAATTTGATTTTGGCAAAATTAAAGATTCAACAAATGGCTTCTCGGATGATAACAAGCTGGGGGAAGGTGGTTTTGGACCTGTTTATATGGTACATTAAACATATAACATCAGCAATATACTAATACATGAGAATGAGTATTCGTTCATTTGAATGTAATATTATTTTAATTGATCTTAGGGAAAACTTGAAAATAGAGGAGAAATAGCAGTGAAAAGATTATCCAAGGATTCAGGTCAAGGTGAAATGGAATTCAAGAATGAGGTGTTGTTAGTGGCCAAACTCCAGCACAAGAATTTGGTTAGGCTTTTGGGTTTCTCCATTCAAGGTATCGAGCGGCTTCTTGTATACGAGTTCGTCCCGAATGGCAGCCTAGACCAATTTTTATTTGGTAACGTAATTTATTTTCATCATTTTTTTTCCGCACACATGATGCGTGTGGAAAGTTAAAACATTAATAAGATATACCTTGTTCGACTTGTAGACCGGATCAAATCATCGACTTTGGATTGGGATACGCGTTACAAAGTCATCGGGGGCATAGCTAAGGGAATTCTATATTTGCATGAAGATTCCAGGCTCCAAATCATTCACCGTGATCTTAAAGCTAGTAATATCCTTCTTGATAAACATATGAATCCTAAAATCTCCGATTTCGGTATGGCAAAATTAATTGTGCCAGATGAAACTCAAAAAAGTACTACCAGAATTGTCGGAACCTAGTAAGTCTTCTATAAATTTATATAGTTTATGTTTTTTTGTCGTCAAAATTGCAAGTAGTGTTTCCTAATATGATCCATAACGAAATATCTCTCCAAGTTTTTGTTCATCATTCTTGTGAGGTCTCATTTTCACATATTATATCTTGATTAGCTATATTCTGGGGCGGACCCATGTGTAAGTTTGGGGGGGCTTCTGCCCCTGCATAATTTTTTTTGAACATATTTTGGCCCCCACCAAAAAGCCCCTAGGTCTGCTCCTGGGTATATTCTTTTTCTTCTTCACTAACTATATGAATCAGCAGAGATATATAATATCCATATGTTTGCTGCAGTGGGTATATGGCACCAGAATACGCTATTTCTGGTCAGTTCTCTGTCAAATCGGACGTATTTAGCTTTGGTGTCATAATCCTGGAAATTATAAGTGGCCAGAGAAAAATATTTATCCAAAATGGGGAGGACTCTGGAGATCTTTTGAGCTATGTGAGTAAAAATCATGTTAACAAAATTTTAAACTGTTGTATGTAATAACCACATATATACATTATTGTTAATCAAATTATTTTCTTGGACAGGCTTGGAGAAGTTGGCGCGAGGGAACCACCGCAAATTTCATAGACCCGATGTTGAGGGCTAGTTCTGGTTCCCAACATGACATGATCAAGTGTATTCACATTGCTTTGTTGTGTGTCCAAGAAAATGCAGTGGACAGACCAACAATGGCATCGGTTGTAATAATGATGAATAGTCTCTCTATAACGCTACCAATGCCTTCGAAGCCTGGATTCTACGTGCCCGTAGGTAGCTTTTCAGGAGCTTCAATCCCATATGAGCATAGTTTGCAGACAAGTGCCGGCATTATAACACAGCGATTATTACCTCAATCTGATCATTCATCTGTCAATAAAAACTCCTCAACGACCGACTTGTACCCGCTGTAGTGTGCAAAATATAAGTATAAATAGTTATTCAAAACATATCCATATGTTTTTAATAGTGAGGTTTGAGGCTTGGAGCCACTTTTGGTTTGATTGTTTTGTTTTTAATGTGTATAATTGGTATGCTTGTGTATATATCATGGTTCAAATAATTCAAACTTGTTGTATACGTATATGTTATGCAACATGGATTGTTTTCGTATAAACTTGATTGGAATGTTTTTGTGTTATTATAGGTGTATGAGGAGTTGAATAATTTTGTCGGGGATCGAAAATTTTAGATGAATAACTACGGTCTACGGGGTTTGTTGGGCAAAATTCACACATTTAAATGCACCTATTGCAAACAAGTGGTAATAGTGCACTCCTTGTTAGGAAAGCATGCACCTTAACGTATTGAAATTTCCAAACACTAGGGTGTATATCCCGCATCCCCCTATTAATGTGGTTAAATTAAATTTTGATGCTGCATTTCCAAATGGGGAAAGTTTCTTTTCGGTGGGAATGGTTGCTCGGGATAGTTATGGTTCTTGTCTCGGTTGGAAAGTAACACGCATACAGGGAAATCTTCAACCTGTGGAAGGAGAAGCATTGGCGGCGTTGAAGACGATCTCTATGGCCAAATCGATGGGCTTAACAAATATTATACTTGAAGGCGATTGCCTCCAAGTGATAAATGCACTCAACAACAGGGAGTGGGAATTCTCATCGTTCGGAGCGTTTGTGGAGGAATGCCTCAACATTGGTGAAAGTTTTGATTCTTGTTCGTTTAATTTTGTTAAGAGACATGGAAACTTGTTAGCTCACTGTATTTCTCAAATTTCATGTACTGTTTCTATGGAGAGTATTGATCTCCCGTTGCATTTAGCGAATATCGCTTAATAAAATTCCCTTTTATTGTCAAAAAAAAAAAAAACGTATTGGAATTTAAATTTTTTGTTCTAATCATGTGAATTCTATAAACCAATTTTATCAATCACATGTAGACGGAGAATGTAAATGACGTATTTGAAATCAATCGATTAACTAAGAGCATCCTCAAAATTTGAAATAAATTAAAATTGAACAATTTTTGAGAACTTATAAGGTGTATATAAGCTCCTTCAAACTTTGATTGTGATCACACCGCAGGCCTAGCAGGAGAAATCCTCTCTATCTTCAATTGCCAAAATTGGGTTTCACTTTGAAAGAGGAATTGTACCGAAATTATTGCACCATTAATAAATCGGACTAATGAGGCAAACAAAGAAATCATTAATACATATAATATGTATATATATTTTATGTAAAATTGGTTACTGTTTGTTTGTTTGTATATATTTTTTTTATCTTTTTGTGATTAATTGTTTTTGTGTAACAAATTTAGTAATTCTTTTGTTTTTATGAATCTGTGTATGTAACAATATATTTTACTGCCGTATTTAGTCAAGTAACAATATATTTTTTGATATATTATGAAGTGTGATATCACATTTAGAATTGGAAGTATTAAATAATTATTATTAAAAATAAATTAAAAAAAAAAAAGAGAAAAATAGCAAAACCCGAACCTGACCCGAAATAACCGGGTACCCAGTTATTTCGGGTCGGGTTCGGGTAATATTTTTTTTGCAAAAAACCCGAATAACCCGACCCGACCCGAATGCCCACCCCTACTATGCAGGACGACGATGACGATTTGGAAGATTTAGACGAGGACATGAAGACTGAGGAAATCGCAAGGATTACAGAAAGGACAAATCAACTACTAAATCCTACATGAAAATTCTTCCCGCAACCTTCAGATATCCTCAAAATTTAGAGTGAGATTAACTGTTATGAATGCCACAATCCCGGAAATATAAAGGCCAACTGATATATCCTCAAGAAAGGTGAAAGGTGAAAGGTTCCAATGGATATCCAAACACAAAGGATTCAGCGCAACTTGGGATGCTCAAGAATCCTAAGGGGATATGAACGACGACGAAATCGAAAATGTTTGTAATCATGACAAATAAAGGAGTATATCGTTCTTATTTAAAAAAATATTAATGGTTTTGATGAATGACATGATGACCTTGAATGTGATGATTCTGATTGTGAAGACGATTGTCATGAAATCATAAATGAGAGGAGAAGAGATTTGGAAAAAAATAGCCTCTAAGAATGATGTCTTGAAAAGAAAAATTATTATTGTCAATAATGAAAAGAAAAAATAGAATCTAATTTAAAATCTTATATTGAAAATCTAGTTATTTGCGAAAAAAGAAAAAAAAAACTTCTTTATCCATGAAGGATTCTATGCTAGAAAACAATGTTATTGATTTAAATTACTGCCTTGAAAAATTCACTAAGGACAAAGAAAATCTCGATAAATTACTTGGCTTGCAAAATGTGTCATTATATAAAGTTGGAATAGACTTTCACTTGTATTATTAGGAATTGAGCAAGATATCGAATGCATTGTCTTTATCATATAATACTTGCGATTATTTTGGTAAAATTTGACATGAATTTTTTTCTTGTCCATAAAAAATGGAACCTCTAGTATATTTATTTCGAATGCCAAAAACGCAAAAATTGATTTGAATTAGATGGCTAATAAATGGTAAGCACTTTAATTTTTAATAATATTATTTGAATGTACTTGATTTTTTTTCAATGCATTGCATGTAGTGAATTATTGAAATGCATAAATATTTTTTTTGATTTATCTTTCGTGATTATAATTAAAAATGATATGATAATATTTTGTAAAATAATAGATTTAGACTTATGACTCTAATTCTTTAAGTGTCAGGGAATCATTGACCAACAAATTTTTTCAGGTATATATCATAACTTGAACGATCTTAAAATTCAAAAGTTACTGTAAGTGTTAAGTAAAGAAGAATAATGAATAATAGATGTCATTATATGTACAGAGGCAATATATACAAAATACAAATGTACAAGGAGTTATTCTAGGTAAAAATTGACTAGAATATTCTATCGTATAATCAAGAAATATATAAGGAAAATATCAAATGATGATAATTATACACATCTTATGACTCTAATCACGTGATATCTGCTAATAGTCCCCCTTAAGGTGACTAGTGAAAATCATGAACTCCCAACTTGTTCCTTAAGTATAGGACTTGTTCGCTTCCTAAAGGTTTGGTAAAAATATCTGCAAGTTGAAGACGTGATGAAACATATGAAGTCGAGATTATCCCAGTTTGTAACTTATCTCTCACAATATGGCAATCAATCTCTATATGTTTAGTCCGCTCGTGGAATACATTATTCTAGCAATGTGAATAGCTGATTGATTGTTACAAAATAGAGTTGCTGGTTGATTTTGTATTACCTTAAGGTCTGCAAAATATAATGGATCCATGTAATATCCAAGCATGTTGTAGCCATAGCTCGATATTCTGCTTCTGTGGATGAGCATGTGGCATTTTTTTTGTTTATTTGATTTCCATAAAATTAGCGAATCTCCTAAAAATATACAATAACCTGAAATAGAACGCCAAATCACCGTACATCCTGCCCCATCAGAATTGTAATAAGCTCTTAACTCGAGATTATTATTGGATGAATATAGCAGTCTTTGTCCATGATTGTCTTTAATGAATATCAATACACTCAAAGCAGCCTCCCAATGTGGTTTTCGTGCATTTTGCATAAACTTACTTAGGTTTATACTAAGTATCATATGTCGGGCCTTGTTACTGTAAGATAAATCAATTTTCCAACTAGCCTTCTGTGTTTGGTAGGATCATGTAGTAAATCACCATTATCTTGTGTTAACTTCATATGCTCCTCCATTGGAATTGAATAAGGACGAGATCCAAGAATCAAGCATCATGCATATTTTCTTTGGCAAAAAAAATAAAAAAAATTCCTTTGTTCGATAAGGAAACTTCAATGCCAAGGAAATACTTCCAAGATCCTTGAAATAAAATTTGTGAATGAGAAACTCCTTCAGAGGCTTAATTGCTTCTTGATTATCTCCTGCCACGATGATGTCATCGACATAAATAAGAACCGTAGTAAATGAATTCCCTTCAAATTTTGTAAATAAGGAATAATTAGCTTTGGATTGATGGAAACCCCCTTTTACATGGCATGCGAGAATTTGGCGAACCAATTTGTTTAAGCCTGCTTTAAACCATATAGGGATTTATTGAGCCGACATACTACATTCTCCCCCTGTCGGTGAAGGCCTAGAGGAACCTCCATATACACTTCTTCCTCGAGATCGGCATGAGGAAATGAATTTTGAACGTCTATTTGATGAAGGACTAATTACGAGAAGCAGCAATAGCTAAGAGACTCTACATTGTGATGAGCTTGGCAGTATGAGAGAATGTTTCCAAATAATCCACTTCTTCAACTTGTGTGTAGCCGTTAGCAACCAGCCGTGATTTTTAACATTCAATTGTGCCATCAGACTTAAATTTTATCTTATAGACCCATTTACAACCAATCCATCGATGTCCATGAGGTAATAGAACAAGTTGCCAAGTATTATTTTTAGTAAGAGCGTCAAGTTCAGACTGCATGGCATCTCTCCATTTAGGATCGAGCACTGCCTAAGAATAGTTAGTGGGATCTCGATAGCTAGATATATTTGTAACAATATATATTTTTAAGAAATGAAAATTGAGAAGGATAAATGTGTGAATATGATTAAAAATGAGAGAGAGGGTGTCGTGTACCTTAGCGGTGACTAGACAATGGAGGTGATGATTGGTAAAGGTTCGTCTGAGCAAAGCTCATAGAATAATCTGCATGCCAAGCTGGTTTGGTATGATGGTTATCCGAGAAGCGGGTTATGGGTGCAGGTTCAAGTTCAGGTGACTCTATTGGGATGAATGATGAGAATTAGTTGAGTCGATCAGGTAGTGGAAAGAGTTGCGAAGTTGACTTAGGTAAAGGTCGAGAGATAGGTGAGTCTAGTGAGGGATTGACTTCAAGAGTGGATTGATGTAAGTTGGAAGAATCGGTGACCGGGGAGGTGTTATTGGGAATTGGTTCGGTGGAGGGGTTGGTGTTTAAGGGATAAAAATGAAGATGGTTGGGGTTGGTGATGGTGGAGGGTTTGTTTGTAAAGGAAAAATAGTCTCGTGGAATTTGAAGTCACGCTAACAAAAAAATTCTTAGTTGTTAAATCGAATAGTTTGCAACCTTTTTTGCCAGTAAGGAAATCCAACAAAAACACATCGGTTGGCACGAAGCTCAAATTTGGTGGGTTGAAATACAGTGGCATAGAATAGACAACTAAGAACACGAAGATGGTCATATGATGGTGAACAATGATATAGACGTTCAAACTACGTGAAATTGGAGAGGCGAGGTGCTGTCAAGCTATTAATTAAATAGACAGTAGTAATCACACATCCCACCCCCGAAATG